TTGTACATCAGTGGGTGATTTCCCCAGGCCAGGCAAGCCCCAACGTCTGCTACCAGGAGGAGGTGGGGTCTCTTTTTGTGGGGACGTGGCAGGAGCACAGAGAGTGCACCTGGAGCTGATGAAACAGCTCATCTGGAGAGGAGGGGATGGGTCCCGCCTGCCCCCAGGCAGCTGCAGCCGCACAAACAGCCGCATTCCTGGAGGCAGCAGCGCTGAAACTCGAAAGCAAGAGCAGGGTCCCAGAATAGCCCCAGCCCAGGAGGGGGGAGTGGGGCAAAGCCAGAGCCACCAGGACAGCAGTGGGAGGATGGCACAAGTGCCCTCGCTTTGGTGCTACAGCTGTGCCAAACCCGGGTGTCACCCACGGCCTCTGCCCTGCCTGAGCCTGGGGGCTGTAGCCCCCCAAGCTCCTGGAGAGTGCTGCTGGTTCCTACACCCCATCCTGACACACCCTGCACTCGCATCACTGTGTTCTCTGAAGGACTTGGGGAAAGGCTGTGCAGAGCCCACATTGTGCCACGCCAGCACTCGCCCCTGTTTTACCCAGCCAGCCCCACCGTGCAGCTGTGCAGCAGTGGGGCATCCCCTGGCTAAATTTAATCCTCACCCACTACAGTCCCCAATCAGAAATTCGAAAGGGCGCCCCAAAAAAGGAAGTGAAACTGTCTCCAGTGGGTGCTGACGTGTGAAGGCAAGCGAGCGCCACGCGGCCGAGCCCGAGCCGGCTCAGCCCTGAGATGGTGGCCATCATCACCTTGTGGGGGACATCAGCCCTGAGATGGTGGCCAGCTCTGTGTCCCCAGGGCTCTCACCCTGGGAGGCCATCACCTTGTGGGGGACATCAGCCCTGAGATGGGGGAAAGGCCTTGGGGTGGCATGATGCTGCCCAAAATTGGCAGGGTGGGTGGTGCTGAACAGGGACCCACTGGGGCTGGTGCCAAGGCTGTGCAGACTCTGTGCCATACCAGGGTGGGTGTCCCCAGGCCAGGGTCACCCCTTCTGTCCCCTGAGTGTCCCTGACAGGGCACCCAGTGGGGTCTTGCCTGACAGGGTGGTCCCTGCCCTGGTGTGGGATGGCCCAGCTGCTGTACGCACGCGCACACACGTGTGTGCACACACATTGCACAAATATGTGCAGATATGTGCACACACACCTCCCCTCCAGTGACCCCAGTGCATCCAGCCTGGGCTGGGCACCACTGACCCCACACCTGTGGGCTTTGAGGCCAGGAGAGACCCTGACACTGCTCACATTGTGGCCTTGTCTCCCTGTGCCACCACCACAGGGGGACCAGCCTGGACAGTTTCCTGCTGCTACCCTGCTGTCAGGTCACCCTGAATTTATCCACTCATTTACTGAATTAAACTAATCAGTCCCTGCCTGCTGCCAAGGCAGCCCCTTCTCTGGGGTCATCCTTCAGTCTGACCTGTTGCAGGGTCCAGGGGCAGCCTCCAGGTTCACAAAATATGGGACAGGTTTTTCCAAATCTGGTAAAAATTTTATAAATTAATAAAATACAAGATACAAATTATAAAATACAAGTAATGAATGACAAAATACTATCAAACACCCCTGGGCAGCCCTGGGTCAAAGCCCCAGCTGGAGGCAGCCAGAGAGTGCAAGACCAGGGTTCATTGCCCTGCAATTGGAAGAGAATTAAATGAAATAAATAAATGTTTCAGGCTGGTGTGGTCGAAAACACAACCTGAGCATTCAAGCCCATTTGTGAAGACGAGAGCAATCATTTGCATAACTGTGTCAAAACAGCAACTGCCAGGGCATGCAGCTGGCAGGAAGGTACCCCCTAGCTGGGGGTTATTTAGATGTGTATGAAACCACACCAGAGCCTGGGGGAGAGCCCAGTAAACAGCCCCAAAGATAAGTGCCCGGCCTTGTAAGCAGATTGTAAACATGCTGAACCGACTCAAAAATAAACACCTTTCAGCTGCTTCAAAATATTTATTATTTCAATTTTATTGTGGCAGTAAAATGTAATTCCCAGGAGAGCCTCAGCCTGGTCTGGGGACTCAGCAAACCCTTGTTTTCTCTCATATTTGAGGTAAACAGGTGCTGATCCCCAGTCAGGTGTGCTGATAAAGATTTGATTGCAGGGCTGGTGCTCCCTCTCTGGAGAAACATGGTCATTGAATTGCAGACTTTGTTATGACTCCCTGGGTGGGACTTTTTAGTTTAATGTTAAGAAATTTCTAGGTAGGGAACATTGGTGGCATGGTGACAACAAGGTGGTGGCAGTGGTGGCTGAGGGGTGTGATGGGGGTGGCTGCCAGGGTTCACACCAGGCCCTCGGGGTTAGGCTCACCCAGTTAGGGAGGACTTTTAGCCAAATTGCCTTTTTCCCTCTCCACAGTCAGGGTGGGCAGAGCAGACAGTGGGATGGGGAGTGGAGGAGAACATTGGGTGCACCCTGGGGCTGGACCCTGCATCCTGTAGATGTGGTGTTCAGGGACATGGCTGGAGATGGCAGTGTCAGTATCATCTTAGACAGCTTTTCCACCCCTAAGGGTTCTGGGTTCCTACCCCAGGCAGTGACACCCTCACCCAACAGCTCCTCACCCTGTGCACATGCTGCCAGCCCCACACCAGAGCCACAGCCCTTTCTTTCCCCCTCCTCTGCAGCCACTGCAGGGAAAAACCACCAGGTTTAAACATTTCTGCCATGTTTTGGGCGCTTTTGGTCAGACCCCCCAGCTGGCTGTGGGCAGGGGTCTGATGCACATCACAGCCCCCCAGCTGAGCCAGGCACCCTCCCAGGCAGCTGTTTGACCGCAGCACTGCAGGTTGGAAACAGCCCTTGCTAAAATTACAGCCCGCCAAAAGCAAGAGCCCGCCAAAAGCAAGAGCCCGCCAAAAGCAAGAGCCCACTTGGGCCAATCATCAGCTGGGAGCCAGGAATAGCCCAGGCCCTGCACGTTCCGCTGCCTTGGCACAAACTGCCCTGCACGTGGCACCCGGGCACCGCTGCCTGGCCGTGCCAGGGCAGGGCAAGGGCGGGAAAAGCCGGGGTTTGGCCCCAGCTCAGCAATGGCTCATGGAGGGGGGCATTGCCATGTTCCTTCCCAGGCAGCCCAGCATTCCCAGCACAGGCACAGCACTCCCCCAGATTTCAGGTCCCAGCAGGGCTGCCCAGTGTGTGCTGAGCCTTTGGGGTGGTTTTGGTGTCCAGTTGTACAGAGGGTCTCTGCTGCCAGACCATACCTGGTGCCACTACTGTCCTCTGCTAGGGACACCACAGCCAGCCAGGACAGGTCCCCCAGGTGATGGGGACCCTGTGGAGTCCCTGCTCCCGGAGCTACTGCCCAACATTTTGGTCCCCAATATCTTTGGGAGCCACAGCCTGTGCCTTCCATGGTCCCCCTGGGCAGGCATCTGGTCCCACTGCCTGGGTGCCCCTCACACCCTGGCCTGGCACTGGCCTGGACTGGGCGGCTGTAGCCACTTGGATCTCACCATGGCTGCCTGGGCCCCCAATTCTCACCAGCTGGGGCTGGGCCCACCCTGGGCTGGACCTGGGCATGTCCATGGGGCAGCTGCCCTGTGGCCTTTGAGCACAAGGGGCTGGAGCTGGGCAGTGCAGCTGGGAATGGTGGGACATGGGTGGACATGAGGGAACAGGCAGAATAGAGGACATGGGAACACAGAGGGGCAGGGAACACAGGGGGGCATGGTGGGACATGGGTGGAAGAGAGGGCACAGCAGGTAGGGTGGTAGGGCAGAGGGACCAGTGGAACACTGAGGCCAGGGACATGATGACACAGGGCACAATAGTATCCAGACGTGGGTGCCAGGGGCAAGAAGCCATGGGTGCCAGTGGCACATGGGACACCGGGGCTGGGAGCATGGAGACACAAGGGACAGCAGCAGGAGAACATGGGGTACAGGGGCATGAGGACACAGGGGACAAGAACATATGAAACAGGGCAGAGGGGAAAAGAGAATGAGGACACAAAGGGATAAGGGCCCAGGGGTCAGGGGCCAAAGGACACAAAGGAAAGGGCCCCAAGGACATGGGGAACAGGAGGACACAGGCGTCGATGGCAGGACAGAAGGACACAGGTACATTGACACATGACGCAGATGGCAGAGATGAGGACACAAGAACAAGGGACACAGGGACACGATAGGGACAGAAGCACACGGGGCCCGGGTGGCGGTGTCGGGGCCGTGCAGAGGGCGCCCCCTGGCGGGCACCAAGGCGCTGCGGGCTCCTCTCCCTGCGCGTGCCCGCGGCGCCCCCGCGTGTCCGGCGTGTCCCCGTGTCCCGCTGCTCCAGCCCTCAGCTCCGGGGGATCACAGAGCCACATCCCCCCGGCGTGAGCATCGGGGATCCGGGACGGGGTCCCCTCCGCCCACGGAGAGCCTCGTGCAGCGAGGGTTTACCCCAGGAGCCTCACACGGGGGATGCTCAGGACCCACGGGTGGGGCGGCCACCGCAGGGGCTGGGGGCTGGAGCCCGGCACTGGCAGTGGTTCCCTCCAGAAATGATGGAAAACCTCAGCCTGTCCCCTCTTCTCCCGGATAACGGCCTGTGCTCTCCACCCATAATTCAGGAGAAGATGGGAACATGCCTGGAGCTCCAGTACATTAATTATGAAGCACCCCGCTCACACAGCCCTGCCCTGGCAGCTGCAGTTATTCCTGCCAGCACAAAATGAGCTCCGTGGAAAGATCCCTGTGTCCTGCACAAGGGCACTGCAGGTGCTGTGCTCCCAGTGACACCCTCACCCCTCCAACAGGCAGCCCCAGCCCTGGGGAGGGTGACAGGGTCTGCAGCACAGGGACGGCATGCAGGGCCTGCATCCCGAGCCAGGGCCGGGATTTGGCTCTTTCCTCCTGCCTGCACCACCACGCAGGGGATATCCCTGAATGCCACCCACACAGCATCCCCAGCTCCCTCCATACTGACCCCGCAGTGCCATGCCGAGCACCTGCCCCACCTGGTGAAGGGACACAGATCCAGCAAAAAAGAGGCAGCAACCCATTGACGGGACCTTGGCTTTATTCCAGTCAATACAACATCCCCCTCCCAGCAGCTCCCACTGCCCATCTACAGGGGCAGCCCAGGGCAGCTCCAGGCTTGCAGAGATTCACCTCTGCAGAGATGCAGCTTCACAAAATCTTCACCCAGCCAAGGTTTCAAGGTGCTTTTTTTTCCTTGTTTCCCATTTCCCATGAACAAGACACATCACCTCCATCTCCACTGCAGCAGGGCCAGAGCCTATGGGGCTGGTGAGAAGAGGCTGAGCAGGGCCAGGGGGAGCAGGGGTGAGAGGAGCTGGTGGTGGTCCCCGTGCAGGGACCCCCCCCTGGCTGTGGCCCCCCGGGAGGCAAAGACCTTGCGGCTGCGGAGGGGCTGCGGCGGGCGGAAGTTGTTGATCATCTTTAGGAGCGTGGATCCCTCGAGTGGGAAGTGCAGGGTGCTGACAAATGCCTTCAGCTGTGCAGGGAGAGAGGGAGGGTGGGCAGCTGCAGTGCCAGGCACCCCAGGCCCCTGCCCACTGCCAGCGGCACAGGACCCAGGGCAGGGCCCCACACCAGGGGGTGCCCTCCCACCACCCCCCAGTGCTCCGCTGAAGCCAGACCCAGGACCCTGCACAGAGCAGGTCCTTACAAGGATCAGGTCTTGAGTTTTAGAGGAGCTAATTGTGTTTTGGTGCCAAGAGTGAGCACTTAGAGAGTGGCTGGCCCATGACTCTCTCAAGAAAATACATCTACTAAAATGCTTGAGCAGCAGAGGAGAACTCCTTCCTTCCTTCCTTCCATGCATCCATCCATCTCCTTGGAGCCTCTACTGAGCTTCAATGGATTCACTCCCATTTCTCTTTCTGAATGCCAAGGCTGGGCAGGAGTGCAGCATGGATGGGATTTCTCCCCACTGGCAGGTGGCCACATCTCCATTACTTGACCTTCATAAAATTAATTAATTGCCAAGTTGCCAGGAGCATTATTATAGAGATGACCTTCCCTGTGCTCTTGCTCTAGGGTCAGGAAGGACAAGGAGAGAGGTCACCCTGGGACCCAGCCTGTCGGGTGCTGGCACATGGGGCTGTGCATGCCAGTACCTGTTCCCGGCCGATCTCCACTGGCTCCTCAAACACAGTCCAGACCACGGCCTCGCTGCAGTCGGGGGTGGTCAGGGAGCCCTGGTAGCGGTAGTAGCCCGAGAGGCGGGCAGCAGGCGGCAGCAGCGTGCTCAGGCGGAACGTGGAGGCCAAATCCACAGAGTCCCCTGTGGGGCAAGCCAGGGGCACTCAGCCTGTCCCCTGCCAGGGATGTGGTGGGGACAGCAGGGCCGTCCCCATCAATTTCCCCTCAGCAGGCAAACCCAGATGAGCTCAGAGACTGGCAGGTTCCCCCATCCAACCCACTGGGGTGCATCCCTGCCCTCCCACTGCAGGGTCTCCCCTTTCCTGCCCTGCCCTGATGAGGAGGTGACTCACCAGCATGGGAGACATTCCTCAGCCCTGCCACGATGGTGTTGTAGTTGGTGTTAGTGGTTTCAGAGACCTGTGTCCGGGGAGAATAAGTGGTTGAAGTCAGGCAGAGCCCGAGCAGGGCAGAGCTGGGTCATCCTGTCCTGCCAAGCAACCACAGGCAGAGCCAGCCTCCCCTGCTGCAGAGCAGTGGGGAAGGTTCCCAGCCAGGTTCTCTTGCAGTCAGTGGGTTCCCCAGCCTCTCCTGGCCTTGACCCAGCCTTCCTGCCCCTTCCCACTTCTTCAGGACACCCATACAACGTTCACCTGGCTGCACCACCAGCACCCAGATCCAGGGGGCCCCTGCAGACCCACCTGGAAGAAGAAGCCGAGGACAGCCAGCCCATTGGGATGCCCCTTGGCCTCTGCCAGTGTCTGGTACTTGGCATTCATGTGGACGATGTGCATCTGAGGAAAGCACAGAGGAGGCAGATGTGCACAGCTGCCCCCAGCCAACAGCCTGGCAGCAGGACATTCTGCTGTGGATCCTTCCAGCCAGCTTGGCCAGACTCTGAGCCAACCTCTCCCAGTAAAGCCCTTCTGGTCCTATTGACGCTTCTGTGGGGTGGGTGCTTGGAGGATCAAAGCACCCCAGTGAAGCAAGCATCCTTTGAAGGGTGTGCAAAAGGGGGCCAGCAGTCCCGGGGTGCTCGCCAGACACAGAACATAAATTCTGCTTTCCTCTGGCAGATAATGAATATTTTAGAGGCGCAGAGCCTCTTTCATCCAGAAGGATCCCAATGTGCTTAGCACAGCACGCTCCTGCTTGCTCTCACTTGCACTCACTAGCTCAGTGTGTGGTCCCAGCAGGGCACAGAGCCCCCCAAATCCCACTGAGTGCCTTGGACAAAGCAGCTTGGCCCATGCATGGTAAAGAAGCACCTCGAGTCTCACATCAGCTGCTTTTTCACCAGCCAGGTGCCTGTGCAGGAGCACAGTGCAGAGTCACAGAGCCCCATCACCTGCTGCACAACAGCCTTGGGGTGCCCCAGCATCTCCCCTTCCCACCTCACCAAGGGCTTGGGCAACCCAGAATGTGCTGGAGGGTTTTTCTCACGTACCTCCATGGGGAGCTGGCGCCCATCGAGGGTGTGCTCGGAGCCGTTCCCAGCCAGGCTGCCCCAGTGGAAGTGGAGCTGGAGCGCGCGGGTACCGGCCGGGGAGGCCCCCCCCGCTGACGGCGATGTGCTCAGAGGCCGACTCGCCCGCCAGGCTCAGCATCACTGCAAGGGCAGCAGGACAGGCTGAGGGCAGGCTCGGGGTGGGGAACAGCCCTGGCACAGCTCCTTCCCCCCTGGCTTCATCCCAGCACTAACATTCACCTGCATGGGATCCTGCAGCACCCAGGAGTGGCACCAGAGCCAGGCCCCAGTCAGGATGGTGCCTGGGGAACTGGGACAGGGGAAGGTGCCCAGCTTCAGCACGCACCTGTGTGCCCGTTGTTTGTCAGCCTCCACTTGCCAGGGGGAGCCTGGTCATAACCCTCGAAGAGGATGTCCCCGAGGCCGCCATCCCGCTGCAGCCGGCGCCTGTCGATGTTCACAGGGGACTGCCTGTCGCCACCACACGTGGCTTTCAGCTCCTTCCAGTGGCTGGGCCCTGCAGAGGAGGAGCAGGGGCACCACGGGCAGCCACCAAACCACCGCTGCCCCCAGAAGGGGACACAAGCCCAGAGGTGGCTGTGTCCCCAACCAGCTCTGCTGTCCCTGCCAGCCCAGCCTTGCATCCCATGGGAACTGCTCTCCTGCCTGGCTAAGTTTCCTTCCTAGTGATGAGCAGGGGCTTATTGCAGCCTCATCCATAATTCATCAGGATTTCCTCGAGGGGCTGGGGGCTATATTTAGCCCAGCAGCAGCGTCCACATTGATGCTGGTGAGGGGCAAGCTTTTCTCCCTGCCCCTTCTGCCTTTTGTAGGATGTTCAACCTACTCACACTGGTTCTGTCCAGCTGTGACAGGGGACAGTGCAACCTGGCCACACAACTCATCCTGGGACAAATCCTACACATGTTCCAGAGTGACCACACGATGCCCATCAGCAGCTCCTGGGGTGGGGGGGTTAACCTTGGCAGGAGCTGGCAGGGGACACAGCAGTGCTGGCAGCTGACTGCACCCACTGCAAACCCACAGCGCTGACTGGGGGCTGTGAGCAGGGTCCCCATGGCTGCCACCACAGCCAGACCACACAACCAACCCATATATGTGGCTTGTCCCCATTGCCCCAGCATCATCTCTTCTTGCAACCCTTGTGGCAGCCCACAGCTGTAGGATGTAGCCAGCCATTCACCCTGCTGTTCACTGCTCCAGTGTGGCTGCCATGGCACCCCAGTCCTCCTGGTGCAGCCCAGGACTGAGGTGTCAGCACTGGGCACAATCAGTATCTGTACTCAGTCCCAGCTGGGGAACAGGAGCTCCCTCAGTGTCTCCAGCCCTGTCCTCCCAGAGCATCTCCATTCCCAGGGGAGCTCAGCACATCCCAGCAGGCACTGTTGGCTCTCCTCACACACACATCATGGCTTTGCCTTCAACCAGGGTTTGGGGAACTGTTCCCCCAGCAGTGCCCCAGTGTTCAGCTCTGACATTTACCTTCCTCTTGGGCAGACAAAACCACAGACACTTGTGGGCTGTATCTCACCTCCTGTGCCCCTGGGCTCAGCCCTTAACCTTTATGTTCTCCTCTCATTACTCCAGGCACTTTACTTTTTGCCTGGCAGCCCTGGGAGCTGCAGCCTGGCCATGCCACCATCCCACTGGGTTCCTGGCACGGTGTAACTGGGTGGCCCCACAGGTTCCCAGGTGCCTTCAATGGGGAAGGGGGGGAGGGAACATTCCACACGGCCCTGCTGCAGGCACACAGCCGGCTCCACGTTGCTCCAGCCGCTTCCCACCAGCCCCTCTGCCCTGCCAAAACCTGCCCTCGCTGCCAGCCCAGCAGCGTTGAACCGGGTGAGACCAAGCCCAGCAATCCAGGCTCAGCAGCCACAGGGCATGGAAACCCAAGAGCTATAAAACAGCTGGGCCGTAACAGCTGATTAAATGCTTGATGATCTTTAATTAACCTTTTACAAGCTATTTGTAATTTGTATTTATATGTTTTGAGACAAAGTGCCCCCAGCCATGCTTCCCTCCCCATCCAGGCAGGGCTGCTCAAAGGGAGCTGTCCCTCCTCAGTCAGGCCCCTGGACCCTCAGGCCCCAATGCTGCCTACACTGCCTGGGGTTTCTAATAGAGTATTTTAAAGCCTGGACTTAATTTGTTTCAGGTGGAAGGAGGAAAGCTAGTGCTGTCCCAGGAGCACCTGGACCTGGCTGAGGTGTGGGGTGGGGCTGACTTGCTCCAAGGGGCTCAGGTGTTTGTCAAGTCTCTACAGCAACACCCCCGAAACTGAAGCCCCTCTAACCATTCCCATGGGGGGATTTACCCTTTTCCATGCCACACTCCCCACTGGGCCTTGCTGATGCTGCCCAGGGTGCTCTCAGCTGGGCACTGTGGGGAGGCAGGAGGGTCTGAGCCCCGCCCAGCCCCAACACACCCACACTTGGCACCACTCACCGCATTGGGGGTCCTGTGAGTCGTAACACCACTGCCCTGTGAGAGAGAGGAGAGCTCAGGGCAGGTGATGGAGACAGGCACCCTTTCCCAAACCCACCTATGGCCATGCCCAACCCCCCGACAGTGAGGACATCCCCCAGTGCAGCCCGGGGTCCCGCCAACACTTGTGTTCATCACGGTTATTTTTGGCGCCAGTGTTTTCACACCCTCCCTGCCTCTCCCACACGCTTCACAGGGAAACCTCCCTCAGTATCGCTGCTCCAAGGCAGCCAAACCTCCTGCTCACTGTGCTCCTTCCCCAGCTCTCGAGGAGCCATCCCCCTTTTCCATCCTGGGGAGCCAAGGCTCACCCCACGGCAGGGGCGAGTGGGAGCCGAGGGGAGCAGCCACAGCCGTGCCCGCTGTCCCTCCCCTCTGTGCCCCGTGTCCCTTTCCCCTGTGCCCGCTGTCCCTCCCCACCGTGCCCGGTGTCCCCGTGGCTCCCGGGGGGCTGGCAGCGGCAGCAGGGGGCAGTGGGCAGGCCCGAGCCCACGCTGTGGGGATGGTGACCGGCCCCGTCACTCAGGGCCACCTCAGCCAGAGCTGCCGAGCTCCCACCAGTGCTCGGGTGGCGCTGGGTACCACGGGCTCCATGACAAGGGCTGGCGCAGCAGGTGCAGGGACACCAAGGGGATGCCGAGCAAGCCCCGCTCCTGCTCTGCTGGCTGCACACCCACCCAGGGCCATCAGCTCTGCAGAGGGGACGCAGTGCACCCCTTCCCTCCTCAGCTCCCCGGTCTGCTCCTGGCAGGAGGCCCAGAAGAGCCGGTGCAGCCCGGGCCCAGCCCACGGGAAGGGTCCCCGCTGGTGGCCGAGGGCGATGCCAGCGGGCCGGCTGCAGGCAAGCCGAGCCACGCTCTCGTGCCAGCCACAGCCGCTCGGAGCAGCAGGACAAAGGCAGCCCTGCCGGCCTCCACCTGTGCTGCTCAAGGCCCCAGCCTGCGGCACTGCATCCACAGTCTCACTGGAGTGGTACAGGAGACACCAGCCCCCGAGGAGAACTGCGAGTGGGACAGAGCAGGCAGGACTCTGACGGTTCCCAGAGCAGGGATCTTGGGGTCCAGGGGCAAGAAGAACTCCTGAGAAATCCTCAGACCTGCACCAGCCCTCGAGCATCCTCCGGCAGGAGCCACGGTAGCGCTGGGCGCCGCAGCCTGGCCCGGACGCAGGTGAGCACCCAGCGCCCCGGGACGGCAGCGCCCGTTCGCTCCGAGGTTTCGTCCTCATTGGTGCTTCCCGGTGGTGCAGGTCTGTGGGGCGGATGGGCTGAAGCCCAAGACCCCACTGTCCCAAGAGGGCCCTGGCCCAACCACCTCGAGCCCCCCCGAGGCCGGCAGCACTCAGGGCCATCCAGCAGCGGGAAGGGCCGGTGGGAGGGCAGGAGAGGGTCCTAGGACAGACTAGGTCCCCCAGTCCCTGCTGACAACCCCTCAGCCCGCATCACCCCTCGACACGTGGGAAGGGAATGCAGAAAGCGGCGCCCCCCAGCCCCAAGCCCCCCAGCCCCGCGCCCCCGTCCTCTCCGCCCGCGGGACCCCCGGCCCCGCCGCCCCGGGCGCAGCTCACCTCCCGCGGCCGCTCGCACGACGAGGGGCAGCGCCAGGAAAGTTATGCCGAGCCCGGTGGGGCCCATGGCGGCGCGGGGCAGCGGGGGGACCCCCGCACCTCCCCGTCCCGTCCCGTCCCTCCGCAGTGCGCCCGGTGCCGGGCTGGGGCGGGCGGCAGCGCTGGCAGCGCCCGCAGCCCGGGAGATGCTCGGCTCCAGCCTGGGCTCTGCTCTTACATATTCATCACCCGGGCTGAGTTTTTAACTCCTCGGCTGCTAGGAGGGAGCGGGGAGAGCCCGGCCCCCGGCCAGCCCCTCGCGGCCGCCGGGTCCCTGCCCGCGGTGACAGGGACAGGGACAGGCGGGGAGCGGGGGCTGGCGGAGCCCACGGGTGCGGCGCTCCCCGCCCCGCTCGCCAGCCCCAAATCTGGAGGTCGGCAGCATCCCCGCTGTGCCCCGGCCCGCCCCCGCACAGTGTGTGGGACTACAGATGGACTGCAGGGGCCTGCCAGGAGGCAGATCGGGCTGGGGACAGCAGCTTTGGCCCGTCCCCTCCCCATTCCTTGCAGACACAGGCTGTGGGACATATCCTCCCTCCAGCTTTGGGAACTCCCCAGCCAGCAGCGGGTCCTGCATCTCCCATGTTTGAGTGTGGTGATGAGCAGCAGGCGGTGCCATGGGGACCCACAGACCAAACCCAACTCCTGCCTGCAAGCACAGGCCCCTCTCTGGACAAAGGCCAGCAAGCACCTCCTGGAAGCCCCATCCTCGGGGGCCCAGGCAGCCTGGACAGCCACGCTGTAGGTGACCCTCAGTCCCTGCAGTCACCAAGGAGCTGCACAGGCAGGTTCAGCCCTTTCCAGAGGGCACAAGGCTGCAGTGGCTCACGCTCTCACAGCCATGGGGCAGTGCTGGGGCACAAGCCTTGCACACCCATCTGAGCAGCACCACAGCACAGTGCAGGCATCCCGTGCTGGTGGAGGCAGCTGTTCAGCTCCTCAGCACAGAGTGAGCATATGCCATCCCATTGCACCTGTCCAGGCAGGTCCCACAGGAGCCAGGATCTCAGCAGGTAGGTAGGTAGGTGGGAAGGGGGTGAGAACACAGGAGCATGTTGTTATCACATTCTCCTTAAATATCCGTGCCATGCTTACACAGCAGAGGAAAGGAGGCCAAGGGGCCCAGCCCACAGCTCCCCTCGCTGGCCCTGGCCAGGAGCACCGGTGGGTCCCTGCCAGGATGAACAAACCCGGCAGCAGCGCCTGGCCAGTGGGAAGCAGCCCCTGCTGCCGGTTTGGCCAGGGATGGGCTCTGGCTCAGCAGAGCTGCTCGGCTGCCAATGCTACAACGGGCTCATCCTCAGCAGGGATTCTTTGGGGCACCTTCTTCCCCCCCAGGCAGCACCAGCCCTGAGCCACGTTTGGGCCCCGGTGCAGGGCGCAGAGGAGGGTGGCAGCGCAGGTGTCCGCTGGGCCGGGCTGGATCTGTGCCGTGGCTGACACTTGGCCCCTGCTCCAGGGATGAGGTAGTCTGCAGAGGGCTGCGGTCATCCTTCCGGAGAGCCGCAAGGGGCGGGCAGGTGCGGCAGAGGGTCGCACCAGCTCCTCAGCCTGCTGCCGATTGTTGCCGGGAAGGAGAGGAGCTGCTCCAGCACTCATGGAATCAGCACCTCCCTTGGAAACATGGGCCCACCAAGGGATCCCTCTTCCTACATGCCCACAGCAGGACAGCCTGTATTGCCAGGAGTAGGGTAGAAACCCAAGACTCCTGGGGTCAGAAAATGAGACTCATTGCCCCATGGACACTTTTTTAGGTTTTCAGGCTTCTCTAGTGGTGATTTGCAGCAAGAGGGGCACAAGAGCAGAGTGTGGAGCTCTGCACAGCCCCCACAAGAAGCGGGAGCAGAGTGAGGAAGCAGTGGGATCTACAAGGCACGTGGAAAGGCAGTGGCAGCACCACAGCCATGCCCTCCTGCCACCCATCCCCACTGCACTGCTCCCTAGGGTGCATGGCTGGCTGCTGGCACTCGTGCCAGGCAGGAGCAACCTCCAGTTTCTACAGGAACCAGATCAAGCCTTGAAACTGACGGCCTTGCTGATGTGGTGGTGGTGGTGAGCTCACAGCTGATCCTGCAGTTTTGTGCCATCCTCATAGGGCAACACCACGTCCATCAGCCTGCTGCCACTGAGCCAGGAGGTGGAGAGGTCCCTGCAGACACACACAGCACCAAGGGCAAGAGCCATGATAAGGGGGAAAATACCACTGAAAGATAAAAATAATTCCTTAAGCTGCAACCATCGATTGGTCGTGGGCACGATGCCACCCTGGTGGGAACCTCCACCACGTGCACCATCAGCAAGCCCTGTGCCAGCACAAAGCAGAGGTGCCAGCAGCTCCTGGAGGTAAATCCTTCACCTGGGAGCCTGGCCGGGGACCCGGGCAGACAGGGACAGTGGCAAGACCAAGACTTGAGCCTCCAGAGTGTGGTTCACATCACACAGGGATGGGTGCACGAAGAGAGGCAAAGTTCACAGGCAGTAAATACTCTGATCTTTGATCCCCATAATAAGCTGGTGCTAGCCCAGGAAGAAAGCCGGGAGCGGGGCAGGGAGCGCAGCAGGGGCCGGCCCTCCGGGGCACACAAAGGAGGCACTGTGGCCGGCAGATGCGCTCTGGCCACACGCCGCTGCACAGCCCCTTCATTCATGCCACGCTCCCGCCGCCGCCGGGGTCAGCGACATCTCCCCCCCCGGGCCTGGCACCCCCGGGTCAGTGCCAGCACACGGCCCCGGCGGGTCTGACACGGCCCTGGCGCTCTCCCAGGGGCTGAGCGCCCCGGACACGCCGTGCTCAGTGCAGCTGCTCAGCACTCGCTCAGAAAAACGCAATTTAAGCTGCTAAGAGCTTACAGCAGGAGGCTGCCCAGCAATGCCCTGCCACAGCAGCCGAGGGTCAGCACACACACAGCTGCCTCTGGACACGCGTGTCCCCGGGTCAGGGCGGGGGGAGCCCGAGAGCCCCGGCTGTGCTGCGGACAATCCCACAGGAGCTGTCCTGTCCCCAGGCAAGGGGCAGGAGGCAAGGGCAGGCTGTATCTGTACGGGATGCCCCAGAACCCGCAGAGCCCCACGAGTTCCAGGCCAGACTGAGCCCTCCAAGAGGGGCCCCTCATGCTGCAGCTGCTGCGGAGAGACGCAGCGGGGCAAGGGCTGCGCCCATCGGCCCCAGCTGAGCCAGCACCGCCCGGCTGGAGCCGCCGTGGAGCTCTCTGAGCTGCTCCGGCCATGGAGCTCTCTGAGCTGCGCCGGCCATGGAGCTCTCTGAGCTGCGCTGGCCATGGAGCTCTCTGGAGCTACGCCGGCCATGGAGCTCTCTGGAGCTGCGCCGGCCATGGAGCTCTCTGAGCTGCGCTGGCCATGGAGCTCTCTGGAGCTACGCCGGCCATGGAGCTCTCTGGAGCTGCGCCGGCCATGGAGCTCTCTGAGCTGCGCCGGCCATGGAGCTCTCTGGAGCTGCGCTGGTCAGGGCCATGGAGCGGCTGCGGTGGCAGCTGCCCTCTGCAGGCACCGGGACAGGAGCGGGGCCCTGCCTGGCCCCACAGCGACAGAGCCCGCTGCAAACACTGCGAGCCCGCCGGCTCGAGAAAAACCAGCGAGCTGGGAGTCTGGACCAGCCTCTCCATCCTGCAGAACACCCTGCCCCTGGACTCAGCAGCTTCCCATGGGGTTGGGGAGAGCAGTACGAATACACTGCACTTCATTTTCTTGGGTATACACTCAAGACCTTCCTAAAATTACACTAATACAGGTGAATCCCACTGGAACCTGTACACATAGGAACTCTGGCAGACTACCTGCTCAAAGTTAAATGCATTTATTGATCTTTTTGCAAGATCACAGCTCAGAAGAGTGATTTAACAAAACCCTCCTTCCCAACCCTAACCCAACCACATCGACGCAGAAATCAGGAGACACTGGAACACAGCATTTCTCTTACAGAACACAATTTATTTGGCATTTGGATGAAATGTTTCTCACAGCATCTTGAAAAAAAAAAGAGATTAGTGCCAACCCCAAAGAAGTTAAAAACAAAAACCAGTGTCACAGGGACTCAATTATTATAGTATCAAATTTAAATTCTACATGGTATTTCACAGAATATCAAAATCTTTTATACACTGCCACAGTTAAGTCCAGTCACAAACCAACTACACAGGAGAAGCCTGCAAGTGCAGCGCTGGCTAAAATGATTTTCCAGAGGAAGGTACAAAGCAGTGTCTCATTCTCTCACAGCCTCCCAGGCACCCTCAGCCCAACACACAGGGATGGTGCAGCACAGCCACCTCTGCTGGCAGCAACCCTGACCCACTCAACACTCGAGGGGCACATCCTAGAAAATTAAAGCTATGTGGTACCGTAGCAGGCAGGCAATGCTGACTGTTATTAGGGGGAAGCACATCTTCATCACTGAAAGCATCTATTCCAAGGAAACATCTATTTCACTTGGGACTGGGGAACATGAGAAGCAAACATGAACTTTGATTCACCTCCTCTACACTCAACCGCTCTAATTTTATGGTCCAGCTCCCAACTTGCAAGGGAAACTTAAAAGAAATTTCTGCATATTACATGTTCCTTAGCTAGGGATAAAAAAGACGTTTCAGCAACTGAAAAAAAGAGAT